GGGGATCCTGGGCAAGGCAACAAGTCTAGTGTTGTGGTTCTTGATATTTACACCTAAAGTGGAACCCCACGTGGTCTGTGCTTGGTTTCCTGTTTTCTTGTCTGTGTTCTGCAGCACTAAAAATATGAATCAACTGCAATTAATCAACTGCAACGTAACATTTACCACATTATAGGTGACTCCAAATCATCTTTACCCGTTAAGCCTCTGTCCTGCACCAAATACACTCTTTTTTTCATATATTTACATCTCAACCTGTTTCGACAAGCATGGTGATTAAGGTCTGATTTAGGGCTTCTGTTGTTTGCTGCCATCCATCCATCCATCCATTTTCCAATCCGCTTATCCAAACAAGTGTCACGAGTGTGCTGGAGCCTATCCCAGATGTCTTCAGGCAGTAGGCGGGGGACACTCTGAATTGGTTGTCAGCCAATCGCAGTGTTTACTGTCCAAACAGTAAATTCAATTCACAAAATGTTGCAGCTTAACATCACTGACTGATCAAATTCTGCATGATCTTCAGAATTTTTAAAGGTTAAAAAAAAAAAAAAAGATTACCGGTATTTGATTGAGTGCTGCTTGTCTCTTGCATTTAGACACCTGTTTTCTTGTCTGTGTTCATCCATCCATTTTATGAACTGCTTAACTGGAAGGCTAATTTAGAAAAAGAAACCCTAAAACATTTGTGTCCTTTGATCCACTCACCAGCCGGACTCCTTTGGAATTTTTTCGGTGGGTCTTAAAGTAATAACCGGCGACCAGCAGAGCAGCCAGCAGGAGCCCAGTCAGCAACAGTGAAACCAGCACCAGTTTCGAGTTCTTCCTCCAGTGAGGGACCGCCTCCTTTACACCAGCCTGCTCAGCCAAACCGAAACATACAGAATGAGCAACAGTTGAGGAAGCATCATTTGAACATTTTTTATATCAGTTCCCCTACCTTGTCTTTGATGTTGTCATTGTTGAACTTGTTGACCATGCCTTTGATGTCATCTGCAAAATAGGAGAGGCACGCCTTGAGTTATAATCCAGCCTCAGTCACGCTTCTGATCAGATCGAGCTCCATCCAAAGCACACAAATGTCTATGTATCATCATCATCATCATTAATCCGACGTCTGACCTTCAACATATGGTCCAGCTACAAGGATCTGGTCCGTGTTGTCCTCCTGGTAGATCAGTAGCTTGCAGTCTTCGCCACAAAGTTCTTCTCGAACACTTTGAATCTTCACCTTTGTGATTTTCTGCAAGGTTACCCAAAGCAAAGATTCTTGTTGAACTGCAGCCGTTCATTGTATATCACTCGACAAACATCATTATACCTGATGCTAGGTACAAGAATGTGCATTTTACTTACACAGGTGGAAGATTGGATGAGTTTCAGATTGACAGCGTTTTTATCCTGGACAGCGTCTTTGCCCACACACACCACATCGCCCTATAGGGTGCAAGCCAAAGATAAGCGTGCAAGAAAAGGCTTCCCACCAGTGGAACACAAAGGCTGTGTCCAAATTCAAAGGGCGCATCCTCCGAAAGCTGCATTGTTGGCCTCATGACGTCACTTCTGTCGCGGCTTGACCGCACGTGGTTTCCAAATTCGAGAAAGACAATTAGCAGGCTGGGTTCTTTGATACCTTCAAAGACTTCCCCTCATCCAGCCTCTGCGGTCCGCCCGAACCGTGGCGAATTTGGCAGGCTTAATATGAATTTGGACACCACATGCGGTAGAGTCGCACCAGAGGTGACGTCATGCGGCCAAAAATGTGGTCATAGCAACGTGTCCTGTTGAGACATCTCACCTCGGGAACGTTGGCCGGGCCATCACCTCTTGGTGGTGCTGGTGCGACGGTCGGTTGTTCCTGGTTTTGAGGTTCGTCTGCATACACATCTACTGTGATCTGTCCCCCGTCAGCGGCGTTCTCAGCTGCTGTGGGCGTGTCCTCTCCCTCGCTCTGTTGTCCCGCCTGATCCGTAGGTGGTGCCTGAGTTGTCTGCACGTCGGTGTGTTGGGTTTCCATCACGACCTCAAATAGTCGATTGTTTGACTCTGAGGAGGGAATTAAATGGAAATGGCGAGGGCATCAGATATAATGGCAAGTATCTGTATCGGCTTTTCTTGAATGCGGAATAAAGATTTTCCGCAAATTCAGCACTAGTGGCCAAAGTTTTCTTTGGCAACCCTCAGCCATTTTTATTAACCTGTAAATGTTTGTTGAGTTGAGTTTAAGCGCCAGAGTCAAAGCCAGCAGTGTCTAAAAAATATCAAGAATCTGCGGCATTGTGATGGTAGCTAAATAGCATTATTTACATCACATCTTGACATTGCTCGGGAAATACAACGCTGTATGAATTGGACCGGGTCCTACGTTTTTGTGGTTTTTAGTAGTGATGCCTCTTAACTCCTATTCTGACGCTTTTTTTTTTTTTTTGCTCACAGTCAGTCCTTAAGTCACACTTGATTGAGTCCATAGAGACGAATTCCGAGGGAGAAATTCCAGTTTACCAGGAGCTTCAGTTGTCATCGGAATCATGTCTCCTCTGACGTATTCTTCTGCAGCGATGGTCGACGCTGCCTCCGTGGCGACGACGTCATCTTGTGCTCTGACCCCCGCTGAAAAATAGTGTTAAAGTCATACCGATCAGTTTTTTAAAACTCACGTGGTACAAGGCGAACAGTAATGCATTCAGTTACAGTCACAGTGGGACTGTGCCTCAATAATTGACTTGTCGTGAGTCACAAAAACAGAATTGTCAGTGTTAATGTACGCTAACTCGGTAATTCTTGCTATAAGGAGGAGGGGGGGGAGTGATTATATGCTCCATGCTTTACATTCCCTGACTGTGCAGGCCCGATGGCATGCAGTACACAATAGAGCACTTACTGTACAGCCACAAGAGTATCTGATCTCTCAGCGAGATTTTAAATCAATGAGCGAGCGGCCCTGCAGTTAAAAAAAAAAAAAAAAAAAGTCTACACTGGTGCCCTTAGCAAATAAACCTTCCCTCATTATGAGACATGGCCCTGCCAGCCAAATGTGCTCACCTCTCCTGAGCGTTTCCCAGGAAAATCTGAACACGCCAGAGGCGACACGGTGTACTCGTGCCAAAGTGAGAAAAATATTTATTATTGTAGCAACACTCTGCATGCCGTTTCACACCAGATACAGTGACGCGTGCTGTCAATCACACCAGAGCTCTATTTAGTCTTGTCGTGGGCGCGCTTCTATCTGAGGCATTGGTTTATTTTTCCTTTGCCAAACCTAACTTAGGTTAAAAACAGCTCTGCGCTTGTGCTCCAATATTTGCATTAAACTGTTGATTCAGGACTTTTGACTTGACATAGCGGCACACACTCATAGTTAATCAGGCTTTTCAGTTGTTTAACGTTCACAGATAGATGGTGAGGTAATAGAATGATGATGCCTTGCTTGAGTGTTTTGCAAAGGTTAAACCACCACTGAAGACTTTCCCAACTGTTTTGCGTTATGGGATGGTCATTATGTCATTTTCCGGTCCTTCCCTCATAATTTCAGACTTTAAAATTGAGTTTGAATGTGTTATTTCTAGCGTGTCACTTTCCACTGTGATATTTGTATTTGTTTGTATCTTTTTGGGACTCCATCCAATGCTGACACCGAGCCGGTGGTGCATTTGAGGGCTTTTGTTGACGTGACAGGTCAGATTGGAAGCGAGGAGGGTCCAACAATCAAACCAAAACACGGCATTCCAGCTGCCCAGATTTGTGCCGCGCTGCCAAAACACCACCATCATTACCTCACTTTCCAAACATTCCCATAATGCATCAACTCTGCAGATCTCATTACGCTCTCTCGCTCGCTCTCGCTTTGTGAATTTTGCTGCTTCCTGCACTCTGCAAATTGTCATGTTGTTTGCGGCTTTGTTCACATGCGGCTTTCATTTAAATGTTAGCTTTATTTTACGCTGTCACAAAATTGGCTTCAGACATTGCAATTGGGTTGATGGATGATTTTTTTTCAGAGGTCCCTGTGATATATTGCACATCTGCAGAGACAAGCACGGATTGCATCGGATATTATTATTTCTTATAAAATCAGAAAACGTTTTACCTATCTCGCCTGTTTACTTGCAATCCAAGGTTGCTGTGATCTGTCACATCTGTCTTTTTTTTTGAATTACGACACATCGTCAAATACCAGTCTGTGTAATATTAAATCAGGGACGTTTGCGCAGGGGCGGCAAGTGAGGAAGGGCACCATCTGCTGGACGTCTTTTCCATGTGAAGAACGTTTGCGCAGGGGCGGCAAGTGAGGAAGGGCACCACCATTGGAAAAAAACGGGGGAAATTTAAAAATAGTTATATTAAATTATGTTCTAATTTTGTTGTATAGGCCGTACTTTCCCGTGATATTCTTTTTCGAGCCAATAATTTCAATTATTTCCTCATCGAAATCGCTGAATGTGCATATTTTCTCTGGAGGATGGGCAGGAATTGAAGCGACCTCAGATTATTCGTTGCAGACGCAGGCAGTCGGCGCATGAACTCATGGGGGAGACGTCGCAATTGGTGTTTTTATCGCCAATAAACTTGTGTTATCACATATGCACTGCATATGCTGACGTTCAACAGTCTCTTGAATGTATTTCATCAATGTGTGACATATTTAGTCACTCTTGAAGTACACAGTGGAGTTTATGGCGGGGGGAGAGGGCGGCATGGACTTATTGAACTCAAAAAGAACTTGGGGCAACGAATTTGTTTAATGACGCCACGTTTGCTAATCAGCTAAAGGATTTGCATTGAGCAAACGTAGCAGTTGAAATGCTATGCATGTTTCCCCTTTTGTTCAAGTCACTTTTTAAATACTATACATACACCACATTGTGATTGTGTGCGCCATGTCCAGTCTTACGTCATAGGTAGGCGGGTACATGTACTGTCTTCCCCTTGGTGAATATCGAAGAACCGCTCGAAGGATGACACTGGACAAGGGGTGTCCAATTTTTTTTTTGTTTGAGGGCCACATGCATAAAAATGGAAAGATGAAAAGGCCACTTTAAAATTCTTCAACTTTCTGAAATATGCTAAAGTCAGTCAAGAAAGCAATTAGATCTGGTTTGTATTGTCGAATTAATTTCATCAGCCTTCTGTTAAAGGTGTTCAGGCAAATAGTTGAGGATGTTTCCAAGTGTTTAGGGTGGTTCTCAATCTCAGAGAATAAATACAGCTCTGTATTTAACAGCAGCCGAATCCCACCTCCACAGTCAGAAACAAAACATAGAACAAACTGGAGTAAGGTGGCCATTTTTCAGTTACTTGAGGATCATTAATATGATGTCTGCATGAGTCATAGAGCACAATGTGGAAGAAACTACTTTTGCCTCTAAAATGGAATTATCTTTATTCACTACAGTGTTTTGAATCTAAATTGTTTTATTCTTTTCATCATAAGTGGTTCAGTGGTATCTTTAAATATCGAGAAATGTTCTACAGTAAATAAGCACATTTATGAGTAGTATTAATGGCACCTATATCTCTGACACCCTCCCTTCTCACTCTGCCCACCTTTACCTTTTTCAACTAACCTTTTGGCTCATGTCAAATCTCTTTTTTTTGGGGGGGGTGGTCATGTCTCGGGCCATTCTTGCTTTTGCTCACAGGATTATCACACTATACATCTATCTGTCTGCTCTTTACTTCCTTTGGTAAATCAATGTGACAAGCAGGTGCCACCAAAGTATTCGCTGCATGTTGTGTGTGAACAGGTGCAGATGCCAGTAGGCTGTATGGAGGCCATTTGGCATGCTCTCTGCTCGCAACTGTCCGTTACAGCTGCTCATTATATTGTACATATGTATGTGTACAGGGGAAATATGATTTTCATACTTTGCGACCCATATATCCTGTGTGTGTGTGTGTGTGTGTGTGTGTGTGTGTGTGTGTGTGTGTGTGTGTGTATATATATATATACATATATATACACACACACACACACACACACACGGGCACACCAATTTGGCTGCTTTTCTGGTAGTTACAACTTAAAGTAGTTAATGTACGTACACAAAACATATACAGTATAGCCTGATTGCGTGCTTTGGAACTTTTTCCAGGTGACACAGCTTACCTGATCAAAGTCGTTATTTCAAGCAGCCTTGAGAGTGGAGCGACAAAGTACAGTAATGTTTGAGAACACCTAGTCAATTTTTATTTAATTGTAAGATTTCCGTGATCAGTGTGTTTGAAAGCTATACATATTTTATGTGACTGTCAGTCAGAGACAACACATGATTTGGGACGGATTTGGACCTTGAATCTGAGAAAACATCCTTACGTAGTGTAGCGTGACTTTGCAATGATAAAATGTAGTTGAAACTATCCTCTGTTCTTTTCTGAAAAACTCGCCTATTTGCTGTTTTGTGTTCAGGTTATCATGTATAGGATTGCTTTGCTGCCATCTTGTGGCATTTATTACCACTACAAACTCTACAAGGAGGCCGGGCATGTTTTTCGCCCCTTCGCGACAGCACTCGGTCTATAGCCTCCCCCAATAGGGTGGGCACTGTAATCCACAAATTCGCCAAAATAACACAAAATACAGTGACTTGGTGCATGCTGCTGTTTGGATAGGCATCTATCTTTCTGGTGGTAACCCTACCTCGACAACTGCAAATGAGGAAGTCATTGTGCATTATATTTGGTAGCTTCTACATCAGTCCCTGACCTTGTGTGGCTTTCTTTTATAACCCCAGTCAGTAAGCTGTCGTTGACAGCTGCCATCCTTCTTCCATCTCTGGGTGGTCTGCTTGTTTAATTTACCAGAAAAAAGGATGAGGATCAAAATGGCTAATGCATAAATTGGAGGTTTTGTTACACAACCGGGACTCATTCAAGTGGCAGAGTGCTGAGAAACCAAGATGTGTTGTTTTAGCTCTGTGACTGCTCCCTCCCCGCGGTAGAGCTTCGGCAGGCCTGTGTGGCACAGGCAGAAGTGAACCTTCTTCAGGGGGGCTACAAAATATAAGAGTGACATTTTGACTAATGATTGCAAGTGACACTTGAACCCACCAGAACCTTGCTGCCTTGGACACATTTTGGCACAGCCACAACAATGATTCATGTCTGAATCATACTTTGACTTGGCGGTCTCACGAAACACGACCACACCCTTTGTTGCAGGAGCTTCTTCTCGTAAAAAAAATGTCAACATGTTGCCAAACGTAATTGAAACCTATAAAACTGTCTTGTTTTGTTGGGTTGGTTTAGTAATGAATGTAAAAAATAATTAGATTAGTGCTGTAGTTTTCAGTTTTCCTGAAAATTATATTGTTGTGAGTGTAACGTCTGCAGCTTTTATAGTGTGTGTGTGTGTGTGTGTGTGTGTGTGTGTGTGTATATATATAATGTACGGTATATACAGTATATCACCGTTTTCAAATTAAAGGCCCGGGGCCGGATCTGGCCTGCCACATTATTTTATGTGGTCCGCAAGAGCAAATTTAAACATGTCGACATCTATGATGCTTGCTAAAATCTGTTCCAAAACTTCAAATTCTCATATTTCATAAATAATCGAGATGTTGTATGCATTTATTTGTGACCAGACCCCTCATTTCAGTAACTTAAACAAT